GACCTTGTGTAGACCTCCAGACAAGCCATTCCTGTTCCCAGAGATCTCACATTTCTTATTCCTTTCCAAGCTACAACCAAGGAAAACTGTATTTGTTTCTCAAGACGCAGTGCTTTTGTGCTTTAAGACGGGATAATTATGAAAACCCACCACTGAACTTTTACCAAAACACCCACGGTCTGCTTCATTCCTTGTCTCTTGCTGCTGTACAGCCACTGCCTCCAGTCCTCAAGGTGGCTTCATTTCAGTCAAGGGCGAAATGATTCCTGTAAAGGAAATTTCCACACTGCCCTCTCCTATAGCCTGTGCACTGAGCTCTGAGCAGTGGCAGCAGGCTGCAGTCAACCGAGATGGGAAAGTTGCCATTGGCATGCAAAACACCCTGGGATCCTGCTGGATGAAAGTCATCCATGAGAACGAGAGACAGAGGATGGATCCTGCTCTCTCTGTAGTGTTTCTATTTTACTCTCTGCTCCCTTTCTGCACTGATTGCAGGTGATAGTCCAGAGGTCTCTCTCTGCCAAGAACCTCTCCCATGCCAAAGGTGGATCAGTGCTGGGAGGATACCTGAAAATCTTCCCTATGTTTTTCATTGTCATGCCAGGAATGATCAGCAGAGCTCTTTACCCAGGTAAGCCTTTTTATGTTCCTTGCCACAGGGATTTACACCTGCCAGGACCACTAATCCCACACAGGTTCTCCAGCACTTTTACACCTCAGAAACTCTGCTGCCCTGCAGGCACATTTGTATATACTCCCATTGTACACTGATGTTCCCATGCCCTTCCTCCACTTCCAGTGCTCCCACACTGGTAGAAGTAACTGGGACTACCCATATGGGGCATATTTTGCCATTGGGGGCATAAAACTCCATGCTGTGGACATCATATGCATCTGTCTATCTGGAGGAAATCAGTGAGATGAAATAAACAAAGGACTGAGGTTGTCCATCCTATGGATTACTTTCATTAGATATTTGGTGAGACTTTTAGCAATCGTCTGCCACACAGATTCATACAATTCCTCGTGGATTATGTGAAACAGCCATCCTTTGTGAAAGAGCAAGTGTTCACCTCATGTTGTCTCCCAAGGAGCTCTCATTGCTGGTTTCTCCAGAGCATGCCACCTACCGGGAAGAATAGCCTGGTTAGGAGGACCACTCCTGGAGGAAAGTGTAAGTGTCTCAAGTGCCTCTCTCCCAGATTTCCTCAAATAGGAGTAACTCATCCTGCAACACCCCTGGTAACCCAGCTGGCAGGTTCATGGAAACAGTCCAGTTCCCACAAATGACAAATCAAGAATTACAATTATGCAACATCCAGAGAGTTATATCTGTACCCTGAACAGAATTGCAAAATGTCATCTCGAAGTTTCACCTTTATTTTATGATGTAAAATGTTATTCAGCTCCACTCATTCTAGCTGTATTCCAGCTGCACCTCTGAAATTATACAAAACCGCACAAGGCATCAAGATTTGTTCCCTTGAATTAAACAACCTATGGCTCAACGGTGTTTACACTGACTTCTTGATATTTTCCTATCTTCCACAGATGAAGTGGGCTGCGTGGACCCAGACATCTGTCAAAGGGTCTGTGGAGCTGCGGTGGGTTGTTCCAACATTGCCTACCCCAAACTCGTGATAGAACTATTGCCTGATGGTGAGAAACCTTTACACTTGTGGAGGTGGGCTTGAGTCATGCTCTGCACAGCGGGATCAGACTGCCCTTATCCATCCTATGGATGAGGAAATCTTTCTGCAGTTACCAGACATCAGGATGAAAAAAAAGTACTCCGAGGCCAAAGGTCCAGTCCTGATTTTCCTTCCCTTTTTTGTTCCCCCAGGGCTCCGGGGTTTGATGATTGCCGTGATGATGGCAGCCTTGATGAGTTCCCTCACCTCCATTTTCAACAGCAGCAGCACACTCTTCGTTATAGACATCTGGCAGCGGATCCGCAGAAAAGCTTCGGAGCAGGAGCTGATGATTGTGGGCAGGTCCTTACATTTCTTTATGTCTCATTGCTCTCATCATATGTTTTGAGTGCAGCATTTACATTCTTCAGTCTGGACTCACTGAGAAAAATCTGGTGCCTAAAATACAGAACAGGAATGCAGCATGGGAAAGAGCATTACATTTTCCAGCTTCATCTCAGATAGACCTGGTCAAAGAGAAACACTGAGCGCACTGCTAAGCTAGGTAGATCATTGCCTCTCTCTTCTCTAAACTTAACATAAATACTGCCTTAAATCTAAATTTTAGAAAAGCCAAAGGTGCTCTGGAGTCACTGTCACCAGAGGTCTTTAAGAACATGTTATTTTTGCATCAGACAGGACTAACACATTGCAATTACTCCTTTTTTCAGGGAAAAGTGCAGAGAGCTGGGCCTCCCAGCTCTCTGTCTCTCTGATAAGTTATAGTGCCCTTTGCAAGCAAGCTTCGGTACTGCATTATATCAGGGGCACATAAAGTTCTCCTCCTGATAGCAGAATTTAAGCTGCATTGTGCCTGTTTGTGGTGCTTTTCCTCTTCTGTCATAAGCATTAAGTTTCTAAACTTTGTTGTGGGGTGGGTGAAGGCTGCAGGCAATCTCATACTCCACCACTGTAGAGCAGTGAGAGGGAAAGTACATCTTGTTCAGCAATATGGAGCAACCTCTATAACATACGGTGCAAAGATGAAGGAGGGTTATGGTATGCACCTGAGACCCCAGAAGCAATTTTAATAAGCAGCAAATTAAATGGGATTTGGCAAAAGCACAAGGCTGAGCATGTTATCTGCTTGGAAAGGTGGCAGAAAGATTGCTTCCACAAGCTTTCATCTTGTTCTCTCTGTTGCATCTGAGAGCTAGTCCTTCGAAGAATGTATCACTCTCCAGGACACACCAGGCTGAAGGGCTTGCACTGATCCAGCTCACGATGGGAGCCACCATGCCCTTGTGGATCTCTCATGCATGTTGATTGGCAAGTCCTGGCTCAGATCTCTCTGAAATCTGTGAAGTTAGCTCTGGCAGTTGGTTGAATTGACTTTCTAGAAGAGAAAAATTTTCTCTTTTCTTGTGTACACAAGGAAAGGTTCTTCTTGAGAGTGATCTGTGGATTTTTTTCTTAGGAAATTCTGAGAGTAATTGGAAGCGTGTTTTGCTGCAAAACTTCATTTTCAGGTAGACTCCACCACCTGCAGAGCTAATATAATTTTGTCCTCATCTTCCAGAGTCTTTATCCTCATCCTTGTAGTCATCAGTATTCTCTGGATCCCGATCATTCAATCAGCCAACAGCGGCAAGCTCTTTGACTACATTCAGTCCATAACCAGCTATCTAGCCCCACCGATCACAGCTCTCTTCATCTTGGCAATCTTCTGCAAGAGGATTAATGAGCCTGTAAGTGGAGTGTCAAAAACCAATTGATATACACATTCAATTTGATAAAATAAATAAATAACTCTCCCCTCACTACCTAGCCTTTGAGACTCTTTAAACTTAAAGCCAGTCCAGCTAAAATGTGACAATTAGACAGCCTTTCCCTGGCATGCATTAGTGGATCTTAGCCCAGTCTCTAGTGTATGTGTGTTTGCTTCCAAGAAGCCACTGCAAGTGGTACTTCTTGGCAGTCTCATTTGAAAGCACGAAAGGCAAAATTGTTCCACACTTTAGGGATGATGTGTCAAACTCTAGTTGGAGGCATGTTGCTAGGAAGAGACTCCTGCATTGTTTGTGCTATATCTGTTCCGTGTTCAAGGACAGAAAGAAAAAACGAGGATTTTTAACTGAAAACATCCTCCTTTGATGCATGTCAGTGTGGGTTTCCGTCAGGCATAAAAGGTCTTGGTCTAAGAAAGAGCTGAAAAGAGCAGAGCAGAGCAGAAAAAAGAAAAGAAACGAAAAGAAAAGAAAAGAAAAGAAAAAGAAAAGAAAAGAAAAGAAAAGAAAAGAAAAGAAAAGAAAAGAAAAGAAAAGAAAAGAAAAGAAAAGAAAAGAAAAGAAAAGAAAAGAAAACTTAACCAAAGGTAACATGCAGTGACCTTTTCTTCATGCTTGCCTTTCCTCAGGGTGCTTTCTGGGGCCTCATGGTTGGGCTAGCTGTTGGTCTCGTTCGGATGATCCTCGAGTTTATTTATAGCACACCGTCTTGTGGTGAGGAGGACAGAAGACCAGCTGTGCTAAAGGACTTGCACTACCTCTACTTTGCCCTCATCCTCTGTGTCCTCACTGCAATTGTCATTGTCCTTATTAGTCTCTGCACCCCACCGATCCCTGAAGAAAAGGTAAGTGACTTGCAGTGGCACCCTTTTCTCAGAGTCCCCGTTTGGTTTCCAAAAATCTCTGAAATCTGTCCTTTTCTTTTCCTCCCATGGTTAAGAAATGGTGTGTAATGCATATGCTGCAAAGAAGCCCTTGCTCCTCAGCTTTCTATTCCCCAGGTCACATAGTGTTAATGCTTTGAGGCACTGAGTGCTTCAAATTGAGTGTGAGTTCCCATGCTGTGCCTAGAGCTAGGCAGACACCACAGCCCATCATAACTGGAACAGAAAGAAAAGAAGAAGGGGAAGGAGATGAAATCATATTACAGAGCACTGCTGAGGAGGAATTAAATATATCTAATTGTAGCATCTACCCTGTTTCAGCAGAGCCAGCATCAATCTTGCAGGCAAACAAGATTAATATCTTTTGCAACATGGGCATTTAGGAAAATAACATTTTGTCCCAATGTGATCTCAATTACATTTAATAACTTTGAGTCAGGCACAACTTTCTTTTACTTAACACATTAAAATGGTGCAGAGTTTGAAGGCTTTATATAATAAAACCTTAAAGCACCTCTTCCCAGTCCCAAATTTTAAAGCAGCTGTCAATATAGAAAACCTGCCATCCACCTCCAAACAAAGGTTACTGGATAGATTTAAGAGAGTTACTTTTTCCTGTCTAACTGCATGAGGAAATGAGGGTGATGCCATTATAGCACTTTCTATCTGTTGCTTCCTCATAACTTGTAAAGCATTAACCAATTCCGTCAATGTTTGATCGAATGTTAGTTGTGTCAAAGATAGCCAGCTCCTAAAGATTACATGAAAGCAGGTGCTCAGATAGAGGTGAGGGGGAGAGAGAGAGCCTGTCTTTGTGTCTGCTTTGAGATAAAGTCTCAGCTTTTATTAGCTATCAGAGGATCCACATGGGAGAGAGAAATACTGGCAAGGAGGCACCATTAGTTCTGCTGCTTACGTTGTTCACTACTGCTCAGGGGTGGCCAGATGGTTGCCAGCAATTAATTACTGTAGTTTAATGAGTTCCCACTCATCATCTGACCTGTGATAACTAAACATGTGCAGTGCTCCCTGCCCACAGCAATAGCAAGATAAGATGCATTAACATAGCACGGGCAGATAGTGAACATCATACCAACAGTTTAGGAAATGAAGAAACTGGCCACAGCACCTACAGGCTTTTTAGTCTGACCTCAGAGGTATAGAAACATTTAAAGCACATTTTAAAGGGGGGAGGGTCAGGACGAAGACCTACTGTAACAGCATCAGGGAAAAAGAGGTTATGATCATAAGAGATTCCTCAGAGGAGATTTTCAGTAGAAATAGGTGAGTTTATAGGTGCTGGACTTAAGGGACCTTATTTGACATATTCTTCAAAGAGCCAATGTTCAGAAAAGATGGATTCAGACTGGAAGCAGTCGAGGGAGCAAAGCCAATGGGATGGTCAGGGAGGATAGAATTTTGTCTGAAACAGCTGTGTGCAGTCATCCCAGAGGAACAAAAAGTGAGGGGTGGTGGCTGCCCCCCCCAGGAACATCTGGAGAGCCAGGGAGGGAGGAGAGCTTGCTAAAGGGCAGTGCCAGTCATGAACAAACATAGGCTGGGCTTTTTTGGGGAAGTATTCTAAAGAGGGATGTTCAGAATAACTTTTTGGTAGGCTATGGACCCCACGTAGTGCTGAGCTCAGTGCTTGACCTCTGTATAAGAGATTCCATTGAAGAAAATTAATAAGAATTAATGATATTGCCTGTGACAGTGAGAGGCTGGACATGGAGACCAAGATCAATCATCTGATGATGGTGATGACCATCCATGTCCCGTGTGCCCCTTCGCCCTCAGTATCTTCCCACCACAAGGAAAATGAGATGGGCTGCCAGGCAATGTGTGCCAGTAAGTGGTAGCTAATTCCCTCTTCCCATAGCTCGGTAGGAATGGGAGAGTCTGCCCCTGTGGTTTTAGTCTGATTTCCATTCAGTTTCTGCTATTTATCCCCAATTTCAACAGGAAAGGTCTGACCTTGTTCCTCAGAGAACAGCCAAAGTGAAGGTCTGGTTTTTAAGCTGAGGTAGGTGCCAACATTGCTGGGTTGCTGCCTGTCCAGCACGAATCTGAGTGTGCAGCATTAAAACCAACATTTTTCATTTTCCCTCAGTCAGACTTACCCCAACTTTTGCCCTAGCCATGAGTGCAGGTGTAGATATGGACCATCACTCCTGGTGGCATGATTTCTCACAGTGTCCTGCAAGTAGGGCTTGTCTCCTCATCTCAAGTTAGTCTGTGGCTGTGCTGAGATGGCTCAAGGACAGAAGGGTTTTGGGAAGGAAGGGCAGGAGGTAGAAAGCAGGATGGACGTGTCAGGCTCTAGCCCTCTGGGTAGACACTAGCACCTGAACTTTGTGTTTGGCCATTAGTGACCTCAGGTTGCTGGGTTTTGGCATGCAAGTGGGCAAACCTGTGGTGAAGAGCCTGTATGTCCCCATGATAGTGGCTGGCAGGGGGGCTGGTAGCAGGTGTCCTGGCTGAGGATATCTGAAGCTCTGGTGCTTCCCAGTCCCATGTGTTGGCCAATTCACTTTATGAGCCTCAGATATTTCCCCCATAAAAATCACATGGGACTAGTTCTGCTAGCGCTTATCTGTGCAGTGCTTTGAGATTTAGTGATGAAAGACTCTGTATAAAAGCTAGGAATTATGCCATTTATTTTGTCAAGCAAAAGGAAAAGAAAAACAAGCCACCAAAGAAAAAGCCAAGGAAATACAGTGATAGATCATACTTCAGCAGATGTAAATCAGCATAGCTCCATTGCCTTCAAAGACCAGGAGCAGCTGTTGAGCACAGTTATGCCTCTTTACACCAGCTGAGGATCTACACTGGACAACTTTAAATATTGAATCTCAATCCTTTTCAGATAGTAAATGGGCAAAAGGAGAGAAGAGATTTGTATCTGATGTTACAGTGGTACAGCTAATGTGCCTGGCTTTAAATGAATTACAATCCAAGAACTGCAAGCTATAGCATTTTTTCCTGCTGTTTTGGACACTCTCCCATCCCTGTGGTGATTGATGCTGTGCTGGAAAACAAGTATGCAAGGAATTTGTTTGGTATGCTCCAGAGTTCATATGTCTTCATTGTAGGTAGTCCATATTGTGTCACGCTGTCCTTGAAAACCCTGCAAAAGAGCTTACAATTAAATTTGAGACTGTGAAGCTGAAACACAACTGTCAGGTGCCAGATGGCATTTTGGAACAGAAGGATTTATTCTAGTTTACAAACAACAAAAGAAAAACTTTGCTGAGTTCTTGCAAACTCCCTTGTCCAGGGAGAACGTGAGGGTGGAAAGGGAGAGGAACAGCCCACAAAGCACAAGTGCCACATGAGCAAGTCACCTCCCCAGGGGTCAGGGCTCAGCCAGACAGGCTGATGAATTGGCAATTCTACTTAATGTGCTCTGGAGTTGGGGATGTTTTCCCTGTGTCCTGAGGTCTGGCTTTGGTGACTCCTTTAGGTGCATGGCCTAGGGCGAGCACCAAGCCCGCTTTGGCTGGTCTGAACCCACACCATGCACTCCTGAGGTGCTGGAGCTGAAGCTCCCACAGCATCATCTAGTGCCACTGACAGCAAAGTGTGCTCAGCTCCTGTGGGAAACAGGCATTTACAGAGGCACAAACTAAGGGGGGACACAGGGCTCCCTGAGCAGTGCCCTCGCATGGCTCTGCGGTGGGGAGCAGAGCCACAGGGCTCCCCGGGACCCGCCAAGTGACTATCCCCCACTCCCCTGCCCTTGGGCATGGCAGCCTCAGGCAGCATTTCCAAGGTCCAAGTCAATTCTGCTAACGCAGCTCCCCTGTCAGCAGTTCTCCTTATTTATGTATTTGCTTGTATTCTCCAGGCATGCAAAACACATGCCATCATCTGCCTCCCCCATTCCCAGCCCTTCGTGAGTCTGTGCCAGGAAGCACAGCCAGCCCCGTGGTGGCCTCCATGGCCACACAATGCTGCTGGTCTGCCCCAGCATGTGCCCTTCTGGTGATGGCAAAGAGGAGAAAGGGAAACCTCAAGGAATTCAGCCAGTCAAAACCTACCACAGGGGAGCTTGAAGCTGGAGCGTGGGTGTGATGCTTCACCGAGGAGCCCTCTAGGGTGGTGGTTTGTTTTATTTGGCCATGGTCAAAAAAACAGCTCCTGGGTGGGTCAGTGGATGATATGCGATGAGGTTACCTGTGTGTCTATGCTCCTTTCAACTGGGAATCCTTCCCATCTGGCAGAGTCTGAGCCCCAGGTAAAGTCCAGCCCTTGCAGATTTTGCTGCAATGTGAAGAGACAGTCATTCAGTGATACATGGGAAGAGGAGGGAAAAGAAAAAAGTTTTGGAAATTCTTTAGTACCCTGAAACTTTGCTATGTTCCAGTGACATTTCCTAAGTGATTAAAAAAAAAAAAAAAGAATCCTTGAGAAAGATGAGGATCATCAAATCAAAGCAATTTAGCACATCATGACAAGAAAGATTAGCCCTGCCCAATGCTCATCTTGGTTGAAAATGATTTAAATAAAGCTATAAATCTTCTGGAAATTATGCAACATTTTGTGTCAGCTGGAAATTCCTGCCTGGATTTGTGTGTGTAAAATTCAAAAATTAAACTCACATTACTTTGTAAGTGACCCATTTGAGACGTTCATTTCCATACGGGCAGAGCAGGGAGGCAGACACTCATCAGGCAAATACGTGACTTTGCCTGACCTGTTATCACCGCTGCAGCTTTGCTACCCCGGTCCCGTCCTGCGGCTCCTCTGCATCCTCAACCGATGGACATGGACAGCTGCATTTGAGTGGGATTGATGAGCGTGGTCCTTGCTGCCTGGCTTGGCCAGAACACACAGAGCTAAGGAAGTGCTGACGCCATCAAGCTGCTTGGTGTGCTATGGTCAGCCAAAGAAGCAGCAGGTCTGACTTAAATTCAAAGCCCTGAGCCCCTGGGATGGCTAACCCCACCCCACAGCTGAAAAAGGACCACTGTGAGATTGGCAAGATTAATGCCTCCTGTGCACTCCTTGTGTCCCAGGGAGGAGAAGACTTTCAGACTTGCTCAAGGATAAGAGTTTCAGATCTCCTGCTTTGGTAAAGCAGAGCAGATTGCAATCACAGCAGCCTGTCCAGCACTGATCATCTCTCATGACTTGCGATGGTTCTTTCACTGAAAGACTGCAGAGAGAGGTAATGTCTTGTATTGGCCCAACAGAGAAAACTAGAATTAAAAAACAAAGGAAAAAAAGCCAAACCAACAAACAAAGAAAAAAGAGAAAAGGCATTTGGATGGGTAAGTCTTGCAGTGTGTGCCAAGAGTTCATTTTTTTCTACTTGTAACTACACCTGTTGGTCTAATGTATGGTATAATCCTCCCTGCGAATTGTGACTTGATATTCGCTGTCACACCCACGTAGTTGCACTTCTTGAACACGTACTTGCAGTCACAGAGCAGAGACACAATACTGCTACTTTTCCCACTAAAAGCCCTGAGATAATCTCATTTGGAAGTGCAGGTTGCTACTTTGATGTGAGCTTGTCCCAACTGTGGGGTTTAATGTTCAAATTGGGTTTTCTTTTCCTATAAAATGACAACTGAGATGAGACAGAAGATCCTTCAGTCCCTCCCCATGTCCCAGAGAAGGAGCTGCTCAAATACTGGTGTTCCTATGGCCATATATCTGCGTCATGCCCCTATAGCCATATATCTGCATGCCAGCACGCAACTGATCTTTCTCTGCTGAGGGTTCAATTGCTGTCTGTGATTGACTGTATCCAGAGAGGATTATCTTGGCTTCTTTTTTTTTTTTTTTTTTTAATTGACTTTATTACCTTTCCCTGTTGGAGATCTGCCATTCTGGACACAGATCATCATTACTTCATGTCAATCAAGTGAGCCTAGCAAATAGGAAGCTGCTTCTTCAATGTCTACTAAAAGGTTACTCCTGATAGAAACAGGGATGGAACAGGTTGTTTAAAAAAGAAAAAAAGAAGGAAAGAAACTAGATTAATTCACACTTTTTCTCAGCTTTTCAGCTCCAGCTGGATGGTACCAGCCTTCTTTTTCAGGGTGTGAGCACCTGTGCAGAAGGGAGGTGAGAGAAAGTGGGGGAACAACCATTGCCCCAGGACAGGTCTTTCAGCACCATCTTGGATCTGTCCCCCTCAAAGAGGGAGGTGACTGGCATGCCAGTTTGCAACTGACAGGCAATAACCTGTTTGTTCTCTGTCCCACTTTGCAGCTCGTTTGCCTGACGTGGTGGACAAGACACAGAAAAGCACCTACCATTGACCTGAAAAATTACAAGAGTCGTGCAGCACAGATCAATCCAGCCGACGGAGAGAGTGCCTTGGTCGAAAGTACAGATTCAGGTGATAAGGAGGAGGCAGGTAGGGTGGCTTGCTGTGAACAAGCACGCTCATGTGGTGAGTCCACAGCCAAGATCTCATGCAAGTCCCTCTAAAGCTCATGAGAGGCCATCTGTTGCATTCACTGGAGTTGGGGCTTGTATTTATGGGTATACCAGTTATGAGGATGTGACAAGTGAAATTGTTGCAGTTCTTGGTCCTCCCAACATATCTTCTAGCGTTTACCTTCATGTCACAATCCTCTGAATGGTTCAGAAGAGCTGCCATTGCTGAAAAACAAAGAAAACTCACCATTCAGTAAAATGTTTTTCCTCCTCCTCCCTAGAACAAGTTACTTACGCAGGCAAACTACCCCAGTCCAGCCCTGCCCAAGTCACAGTGTTATTTTAGCACTTCAGGCCTGGACACTTAATGGTGTGTTGGACGCCTTAGATGGGAGCCAACGTCCACTTACGAACATCCCTTGGCAGGGTGGAGGTCTGTGCTGCTGGGACTCTGCCTCTTGCCCCGATGACACTGGGGCTTTGTGCCATGACACTGCATCTATTTCTCTGTCTCACCAAGATGCTCTTGAGGAGCTCCATAGCACTACTGCAGCCATAACCAAAGCAGCAGCGACCACTAGAGCTGTGATAGTCGTGGCAGGCTCTGTAATTTCAACTTGCAGCACATAAAAATGGCATCCCTTCCTGTCCTCATCATTGCTAGGAGATAAAACCCTTGTGTATGTGTTAGAGATGCCTCCTTCTTACTCCTGTGTGAGCTCTGCTGGCCAAACTCACTCAGTGATGCTGTAACATACTGTATCAAAATAGTGTCACGGTCTGACGGGACCATGAGACACTGGGAGCAGGTGTGTGCACTTTGTGGATGTCCTAGGATAAATCTACAAGCCTCAGTTTTCTCATTTACATTATGCCAATAGTATCTTTCATTTTCCCTTAGGATATAAGGCATCGTTAAAACTCAGACCCAAGTTGCTTAAATATCCGTGTGGCCTACCAAGGGTATTTAATAAGAAGGAAGGCAAAGAGTCAAATGAACTTAAAGAGTTGTCAGGAGACAGAACAGTAGCAGAAGATGCTACATAGGCAAGTTTTTTTCAGAGTGGACAGAGATTTATTCTGCAAATCCATTAAAAAAATACAGCTTCCTGGTTTTCAGTTTAACCTTCCAAGGTTACAGAGCAGAAAAACGCAGAAGAAAGGCACATACACAACATTTCTTCACTCCTTCCTTTTGCTGGTCTATCCAAAGGACACCGGTACCAATTACAGCCAAGCTAAACAGAAGTGAACAACTAAAGAAATATCTTATTTTTTTTTCCCAATAGAGTAATGTTGGGCTTAAGTTGAATGCAGCCATTCAGCATTATCTATTATTTCTTATCAATTCCTAGTTCACTTAACTAGCTCATATTTTTATAAACAGATGTCTTAGTATTTTGGTAATTAGTAATGATGGTCAAGGAAATGCAAAACACAGCAGCTGACAGTTTAATGAGGGTTTTTTTTTCAGGTAACACCTTTTTCAAGGCCTTATGACACTGCATTTCAAAAAATATTTGGAAAGCACAGCCAGTGAAATACACACGGCACAGGGCTGACAATTAAAACACATACTTCACCCTGCATGTCAAGTGTAATAAATAAGCCAGGAGATCTCTAAATGGACCATCATGCTGTCAGGAATTTGTGAAAGTGGATGGAAGCAGGCTTGGGGAGGAGGGGGAAAAGGTCTGTTAATTAACTAATGAACGATTGGTATTGCAATCAACCAACTGTAATCAGGCTGTGCTGGACATGGTCGAGACAGAGCTTTCTCTTTTCCCTTCCCTTTCCTTCCCTTCCCATCTCCCATCATCATCTTCATCTCCCATCCAAGATACATCGCAAGCCCCATTCCAGATTGGTCAATGCACCTCCAAACTGGTGGAAGGAGGGAGGGAAAAGCCCCAGCTAGATGATAACACCCATTCTTTGATCCATTTCTTGCAGCAGCCAAGCCTCCCTGCTGGAAAATGCTGTACCTATGGTTCTGTGGTCTGTCCACCGGCCCCACGCCCACCCTGTCCCAGGAGGAGAGAGCTGCCCTGGAGCGGAGACTCACCAGCATCGAGGAAAAGCCCCTGTGGAAGATTGTTTGCAATGTTAATGCTATTCTCCTGCTGACCGTTAATGTCTTTCTGTGGGCATATTTCGGCTGAGGTGGGGTCAGGCAGCACGTGGCTTTGGTTTCTCTCAGGGGTCCTCATCTTCATGTCTAAGCCAGAGGTGTCAGGTGACAGAGACCCTGGTGATGGTTCCTGGAGGCGCTGGCACACCTTGGCGCAGCCCTTCCCCAGAGGCACTGCTTGCTGGAAATGACTGCGGGGCTCTGTTTCTCCATAAGATAAGGTGTGACCAAGATTCAAAACTAGTCACATCCATGATGCAGAGGATGTGTGGGACAGCATGTGGGTGAAGTCAGGAGACCTGGGGTCAATTTTAAAGGTGCAGAGCCAAGCCCAGCAAGGAGCTTTGGAAAGTCTGTTTGTGGCATGGCCGGGTCTGTGTTCCCCTCACGCACCAGCTCAAGGCTGACTTTGCACCGCTGCTCTTAGTGGAAGGACTTCTGTTTTACACTGGTGTGGAAAAGGAGACTTAAGCACTATCTGCAGGTTTGTTTTTTTTTTATATGGCCAAAATTCAGATGGGGTTAGTGTGGGACCACTGGATTAGCTCAGCAGCAACAACCTTGGCTCCCACAGCCACCCCAGGACCTGTGTGAGACCCCCCCGCCCCGCCAGCTGGCATCAGCAGGGGGGACAGGGGCTTCCCCACCCTCCCTGAGCCCCCCCCAGTCTGCCCACTCTGCCGCGTGACAGTGGGTCTTACAACAGCCTGACCTTGTTTACTCATCGCGCCAATCCTGTCCCTTAACAGCATTACCAGCAATAAAGGTGCCTTAGTAACAAAGCCAATTTTGACTTTGGGTTATTGTGGTTATATATCCTCCACTGACGCACAAAGGTCACCTTGGGACCACGGTCACCTGCCTGTGGTAGGGAAAAGAAATATTCCTCCTTGGGCTAGGTCCAAGGCTGGACCTTGCCCTCCTTCGGCAAGTCCAGGCCCCTCTGACCCACCTTGGTATCATCATGCAATGTGGCATGGCTATAACCTTTTAAACCACCTCCGGAGGAAGAGGTGGCAGTACTCACTGTTAGTGTCTTTGTCTGGTGGTTAGGATGCTCACCTGGAGAAGGCCCACAGAGATGTGACCCCTCCACTGCAGCATCCAAGGGGCATGTCCAAGCCACCCGGCATGGGCTGTGGGGGGAGGCAAGGGCATGCAGTGAAGCACAGTGCCATAAAGATGAAGAAAATGAGTCATGATCCAGCAAGGAGAGGAGAAACAAGGCTCTGTGCCCACCTGGCACAGAGAGCCCCGGTCACGGTTCCCTTGCTCAGCCTCAGTTTGGATGGAGGAGACTGAATCAGCCATGCAGGATGGGGTCTGTGCTGTGCTCATGCAGGTCAATACAAGCATTTGCTTTTTCTAAGAGGAAAAAGCAGATTTTCTTTGAATAAGGGAGATCTCAGTCCCATCAGTCGCCCGTCCGTCCCCGTGGGAAGAGGCATATGATGCAGAGCTTGCCTTGCCTTTCCACTATTCAATTTCTAGCAGGTGGTGCCCAGATCAGAGGGTGCCTCAAAACATTTAGAGGAAATCAAGTTACCAGCTGTGATTAATAGCTGGTAAATGTCTAATAATAACGAACACATTTCTAATGCATTTAGAAATACCAGGGCTCTCGCCTCCTCGCCTAGAGCAGCGAGGTGCTCAGTGCTCCTGAGCCACAGAGCCCCTCAGCAGCGCTTAGCTCAAAGGCTTTATTGGCTTTTTCAGACCACACATCCGCTAAAGGAATGCGGAGCAGGATGAGGAATACCGGGGCAGTTTTTTAAATGTTTGAGATTATTCTTTTCCCCTAAGAAAATTTCATTTTTGCAGAGAATAGAAGTGAAATTTACTAAGCCTTTTTTCTTTTTTAAATGACAGAAATAGTTTTAATCTTTGTTTATAAGCTGTTGACCTCTTCCCCTTCCCATCTCACCCCATGGACCCTGGAAGGCAAGGTTTCCTTTAAAATGATGATGTCTATGTCACTTAAACGAAGTAATGCGCTTTGAGAAATATGAATGCATCCCTGAGGTCGGCCCACAGAAGGAAATGGAGGCATCCATGCTGCCAGATGCAGCCAGCTGTGCACCCCACAGGAGAAACGCATTTCATTGGTAAATTCATTTGACTTACTACTCTGCTTTGAACCACTTAAGCAAAACAAAAGAAAAAAAGAATCATTGGGGAGGGGGAGTCTGAAATGTTTTATTGACATAAACCAAAGTCATCTCAAAACATCTTGACCTTTCCTTGCCTTTTCTAGGAAAACACCATATTTAGTTGAAAAAAAATTAAAATCAAACAAAAGAGATTATATTTTTCCTCCTAGTTGAAGACTGGGGGTGACGGGAGGTTCCTTTTCATGTTATTCCTCATTTCAGTCCCTCTGCTCCTTGCTTCTCAGCTCCTACACCCATTCCCTCCGCCTACATCCATGTGCAGCTCTTCCCCTCCACATCTCCCAGTCCTTTCTTCCCAGCCTTGATAATTTCCAGTTTATGCTACATCTCCCCATGGATCACACTTGAACACACGGAGTCCCTCCAGCCCCAGCTCCCACTTGCCTCCCTGCAGCAAGCAGGACCCTGCTCACCCTGGCAGCTCACCATCAGCCTCACCCCTGCGTGCCAAGGAGCTGCTGGGACAGGGATAGAGGTAAGGACTGGGATGGGATGGGACAGGATGGGATGATTCTCAGCTCCCTGCTGCTGCAGGGGTGATGCTGTGGCAGAGTGTGCTGCTGTAAGCATGCAGCTCTTTGAACCATCTCAGATATGCACTGGGGGTTTTAAGAGGGAAACCCCAACAGAGGCTCTGCAGGTGGAATGATTATAAGCCCAAATTAAAATGCTCTTTTCCTAACAGGATGATCAAGGTCGAAAAACCAAGGCCCATGACAGTCACATGCAGCACCTGTGAAGAGCTTTATCTCCTAATGTGTTGTGCATCCAGTGAAGCGGGGGTACTTTCTAAAGCTGTGTCAGTTGAAGAAATGCAAGTGGTTAAATGCCTGTGGCAGGTTCTGAAGGAACCTTTTTAGAGATACATGAGGTGGGACGAGCACAGACCCTGAGCGAAAGTGTAGGTCAAACACCAGGTGCTGCAGCTGCTGCAGCCCAAGCTGCTCTGCACCAGGAGCAGCTTCTCCACCAGCATTGCTCAGCCCACACTGCGAGGGCAGAGCTCCCAAGGGAACAAAGATTACCTGCAAATCCAACCAGCCATAGCCCCAAAAGCAAGGAATGAGGAAATCCATGGTGTCTGGAAGAGTTTTTAGCAGTGACATGGGGAAACGCACATGGGAAGTCAGAGCCCAGCAGAACGGGGGCTTCGGCAATGACAGGGTCATCCGACAGCAGATGCGGTGGGCTGTGGCACAGCCTCGGCGTTGGGCTCCTCGCGAGCCTTTCCCAGTGAGTAGCTTGTCATTGCCCCAGGAGCGCTACACAGCCTCGCTCCTCACAGTGCGTGATGAATTGCAATAGCCTAACAAGAACGCATTGCTTTCAGAGCTGTAACCAATATACAAGTCCATTGGCAGCAGATGTTATTAATGATGCCAATACATATTTTCATATTAATCTTCCATACTGGGCTTGTGTCTATCTGCAAATGATTATCATTCATTTTCCTGACAAATCTATCAAGATCATTTATTACTGTTCGGCAAAGGATCTTCTTTTAAACAAAGATTAATAACATTGCATTTTATCTGGCTGGCTGAGCCAAAGGAAATGAAATTAACAATGAACCCTACAAACATGTCATCACTTTAATTTACCGGAAAATATTTTTAAATGTTATTTAAAAGTATATACGCTAGGGTGGGCACAGTTTATTACAAAGAAAAGAAATGAAACCACATGCATTTTAGCAGGGTGGAAAGTAAGTTAGCAAACAGGGCACCGTGTTTTCTCTGGTTCCTCACACTCATTTTCTGGGACAAGGAGGGAGTGACGCACGCAGCCTTCTTGGTGTGCACAGACAGGGACCTGCCCGGGTGAATCATAGCTGGAGGTCACTGTTCCTGGGTTAAAGTGGATCCTATCTGGGATCACAAGCTCTCATCTCTGCAGGCAGCATTGCCCTCCCTGCATTCCTATAGAGGGAAACTCACTAGGGTAAAGCTCATGGAGATCTGAGGGAGAGGAGGGGACACGTGGGCTGACAGAGTCCCAGCACCCTTCTGCACGTTTGGTCCCTATGAGGACAAGAAGCAAACTCAGTAAATTTACATGGGTTAGTTTCCTTTCTTCTGTACTCTCTTCTTACTTTCTCTTCCCTTCATTTGAGTAAAATAATAATAAACAATAAATATACACCAAAGAACACATCAGAACCCCCTCCTACTTTTACTGCAAATAGTAATGCAAAGACTTAATATTAGCTTTGCCTTTGCATTGCTTTGTTTACACCCACAACTTATCTTTTGAGCCCCGTTTGGGTGCATGTACCCACTGCGGTGTCTCCGCAGGAGTTTCCC